AAAGCGTAAGAGCCATTGTCACCAGCTTGCATAAAAGGTCGCTTCGACCCAAAGCGTAAGAGCCATTGTCTCCAGCCTAATAAGCCTCAGGGCCGCGCACATAAAAGATCGCCTCGATCAATGGCGTAAGAGCCATTGTCGCTAGCCCATGCAAACACGAAAGCTTGAGGGTCAAATGACTCGAGTCGAAACCCGACTCGGAGACTAAACCCAAAATAGTTGAGCAAAAGCATAAGGGCTCTAACGCCAGCTTATACTAAAGGTCGCATCGATCGAGCGCGTAAGGCCCCCTGGGCCTGCCTAATGAGCCCCGGGGCCGTATCACGAATCTAAGGATTCTTGCCAACTTTGAAACTGGATCACCCGGCCGAATTCAAGACAGAAAGGGGAGTAGAAGAAGCAAAGCCACTAAGCTTCCTGTTATACATATGCAAGTATGAAAATACTGTATACAAAGAGGGAAATGGACAGAATCCTAATCCATCATAGGGCCTACGCTCTCGATGGCTCCACCAAGGGTTGCACCCCGGTAACTACGAATCCTCCATCGGCACCTTCTCAACGGCATCCTCCCTTTCCAGGAGTCCACCTTCATTTTTGGCTCCACCTAAGCCGCCGCCCGGCATACCTCCAAAGGTCTGCTTTCGAGATTCCAACCAAGCGCGATCCACAGCTCGAGCTAATTTTGGTCTAGCCTCCTCAGACGCCCCCTCAACGTGAGCGCTTGCGGCAATAGCCTCCTCCCCATGCAAATATACAAGTGCCTCGGCCTCGGCTTTGATCCTAGATAGTACAGCTACCAGCTCGAAATGGAGACATCTGTACTTGTCACTGTCCTCTTTCGCATCCTGGAGCTGACGCCCGATGGAGGTCACTTTCCCCTAGAGGGTGTCCCTCTCAAAAGTTATCTCCCCTACGTACCGTCTAAGCTCGGAAATTTTGGCATCTCTGGCCCGGAGCTCCTCCCTCAGCAAGGCATTTTCCTTCTCAAACTACATGAAGTGGGTCCAAGATGTTAAAGCACTGGAATCTAACAAAGATTCAGATAATAGTAAACGGGGGCTGAGTAACCTGCTCGGTAAGATAGGCTTTCTCACGATCACGACGGGCCACCTCATTCTAGTATCCGATGAAAGCCTGGCTATAAAGCGCCTTGGCCTGAAGCCATGAAAAAAGATAAGTTAGAAAAACAAAGATCGGAAGCAGCCCAGAGCGGCGGACAGAGTTAGCAAAAATTACCCGCATGCAAAGCCTGCCCATTTCACCAAAGACGAGTGAAGCATCGACCTCAGGAATTCCCTCGAGAACGGTTGGCAGTGTCTCGAGCGCATCTCCGCCTTCGATTGGTGTCCCCGCATCAGAGGGCTCTTCACGCAGGGCATCCTGCGCTCCCTAAGGTGGCAGAGTCATTCCCTGAGGAGAATCAATCGCGACCACGGCGTTGGCAAAATCAATCAAAGTCTTCATCCCTTGTCCGCCCAGGGCCCCAAAACTGGGCCCTTCCGAACTGCCTATTAAGGGCACCTCTACTAGAGGAGAATCCTGGCCGCCATCCATCTCGGGGGTAGTACTCCATACTCCATCCGTGGTCTCCCCGCCACGAAGGTGAACCACAATGGCATCGAGCTCCGGTTCAGAAGCCTCCGTCCCTACGGCCCAGGGATTGGCTAAGTTTATGTGCTCCTCGGAAGCCGTCGGGAAGCTGCTCTCCCCCTCACCTTTAGCTCGAGGGTTTCCCGTCGTTTCCGAATTCCGAGCTGCCGGGTCGACCTTGGATTCTTCCACCTTAACCTTCTTGAATTCCGACGGCCCGTCCGATGGATCCCTCTGCATTCTCTTCCTCTCGCTGGTCACCAGGGCGTTTCCCTCAACGAGCAGTGCTCCCTTCATCAATGGGATTTCCCCATACCTGCACAAATGCAGAGGTTAAATACAAAGAATGGGGAACGCTACTAATAGCGATTTGGATAGAAGAATATGGCTACAGAAGGTCTCAGAGCTTACCGTGATCCTTGGCTTCCCACCGAGCTCGGGATAAATCGCGCCACACTCGTTCAACATATGGGCAGATCTAATACAAGCGGCCGACCAATCCCGGAGGTCTGGAACCGTGCCAGGGTAGGTCGCTACGGCTGAAATGGTATGAGAAGTAATGTTAGATGCTTGGAGAAACATTGTCAGAGAGAAGCAAAGGAAGTCTAGATAACACGTCAACTTACGCCCCGCGTTCCACTCCTCAGGGAACGGCATCTTTTCCGCCGGAATCAGGTCGGAAGTCCTCACTCTGACAAATCGGCTTACCCATCCCCCATTCCCGAGCTCGTCGGTGCAGGCAAAGAGAAACCTCGGGGCTCGATAGCAGAGCTTGATTAGACCCCCGCGGAGAAGACGAGGGCTATACATCCTGATCAGGTGGTTGAGGGTGAAGGGCATCTCCTCGATCATGTTTGTGTAATTCCTGATCATATAAACGACGCGCCAGAACGAAGGATGAATTTGACCAAGGGCTACTTGATACCGCCAACAGAAGTCGAGAATCACGGGGTCGATCGGGGGCGAGGATGGCCCCACCGGCCCTAAGGTGAATGGATAGGTATACACACTCAAAAAGCCGGCTTTATATGCCGTAATATCTTCTTCCCGAGCAGCGACCTCCACAAGTACGGTATCCCCCCAGCGGCAGTCAGCTTTCACTCTTCCGACATCCGTTATCAAGATGGTATACTGAATCACGGGCTCGCAATGCTCTGGTTTCAAGAAAGGTCTCTCGACCTTGAAATCAGAAGTCATCACAAAGGATACGGGGACGCATTCCTCAGCGCGAGGAGGTGTGGCCACTTCACCTTGAGATAAAAGCGAAGAGGATGAGACCGCATTCTCCTGAGAAGCAGAGGAGGAAGATTTTGCATTTCCTAGAAAATTCCGGAGGGAGAAAAAGAGTTGCGAAAACAAAGGAAGAGCGAACCTTTTCAGGGGTTTGGGAATACAATGAGTTAAAGAAAATACGAAGGGGAGTATTTATAGAAGCTCCGCGTGCGCATTGAAGAAGGCCAAGGGACAGCCAACTACCATAATCAATACGGAGATTTTCAGGGGCTGCGTGCGTATCGTATCTTGGCGTCTTGTGACCGATGCCGATTACAAGAGTACCTGCGGAGGAAGAAGCTCAAGGTCGTTTCTTATCACCTTCACTCTAAGAAACGCAGAGACTATCTGTGTACGGTAAAACCGGGGGAGGCGATTTCCCCGTCATCGGGTTGCCTCGATAACGTGCTTCTCAAGTTTTGAAACCGAGGTCGAGACTACTCGTTATTGGGTTGCTTCGAACAACGGGTCTGATTTCCCATCATTAAGGCATTTCGAAAGATCACCTTGAAGCCTTAAGGCTACAAAGATGGGCTCGAGTCTCCTTCCTCGGAGCTCGTCAACACCCGGCCTGAAGAGAATGTCGGCCGAGGCTAGAGTAAAAATGGGGAGTTCTCAAGACACACGGCTAAGTCTGACAAAGTCTAGCCGGCCTACTCTGAACCCAGATCAGGGTGTCACATCTAGCTGTCCCATCTCTATATCTTTACAATTAATGTATGTCGTACCATATAAGGTTTCCCCTTCTATATAAAGGGGATCTTTACTATTTTGTAAACAACTGATGTTGCTCCAACTATTCTACATGAAATATATAAGAACGCTCTCTCTCTTTTCTCTCTAACATACTCTCTCGATATTGTTGCTCTTATTTGCTATCTTCATACTTGTTCTTCATTTATTGTTTATCATTGGCCATAAAGAGCCTCCTTTAATTATATCACGACTGTTAGCCCTTCCCCGACTCCAGCTAATAGCTCAAACTCGAGCCCAGGAATCGACCTCGAGGCCCCAAACCGACTAGCTCGAGGCCCTGAACAGCTAACGCATCGGTTCGATTATAACTTTATTTTAGCTCGCATTTCGTCCTTAAACTTCATATACATAGCATCGACTACTTAACAACTAGCATTAAAATAGATCATGTATTTTTAGAGTCCCATCAACAAATTTAATTGTTATTATCATTTTCACAATAAACAATAATCCACCGCCGGTAGCAATGTGAAAGGTCCTCTTAATCTTTTTTTTTCGCAAAAACCAAATGAAAAGAGAAAGGGTGAAGCTATTGACTTAGATTCTTGTAGGAAGAGTTTAAGGGAGTGCGATGTAGATGCTTTTGCTAGGTGGGTGTATGATGCAGGGCTCCCTTTTAATTGTGTAAATTACACCGATAGTTTTGATGAATTCATTGAGGCTGTAGGCTAATATGGCCCAGGAATGAAGCCCCCAACCTATCACGAAGTAAGAGTTCCTTGTCTAAAAAGGAGGTGGAGAAGACAAACAAGATTGTCGAGGAGCATTAGGTGCAATGGAAAACTTATGGTGTTCCATTATGATAGATAAATGGGCAGCAAAAAATGGAAAAATGGTCATTAATGTTTTGGTGAATTCTCCGTGAGGTAGTGTGTTTCTTGAATCTTATGATGCTAGTGACTCTTCAACCGATTCTGATAAAGTGTTCAACTTGCTTGAGAAGACAATATAGAAAGTTGGACCAAAAATGTGGTTCAAGCTGTTACTGATAACACAAGTGAGAATAAAAAAGCGGATGACATGTTGAAAGGAGTTTTCCTGAATATTTGTTGGACTCCTTGTGCTGCACATTGTATCAACTTGGTGTTTGGTGACATTTTCAAGTTAGCCCCATATTCTACAGGTGAACAAGTGGTTCTTGTTTTGTATTTTAACCTTTATGTTAATTGTTTATACTTATTAACTATGAAATTTTATTTCCTACAGTTTTTGCTAAGTCGATCAAGATACACTCTTACATTAGTCAAAGACCATTGTTGTTGAACATGATAAGGAGATACACAAACCAAAGAAATTTGGTGAAACCTGCTAAGACAAGATTTGCAACAGCTACTTTGCATAGCTTTTACCTGCAAAAGAAAAATTTGTGAACCTTGTTCATGTCAACCGAATGGAGTGAGAGTATCTATGCTAAGGAAGCTCTTGGGAAAGAAGTTGTGAGATTTATTGTCAGTCCATATTTTTGGAATGACACCGTTCAAGCACTTAAAGTTGGTAGTCCTTTGGTTACTGTACTTCGTTTGGTAGATGGGGAGAGAAAACCACCAATGGGATACATTTATGAAGCCATGGATAGGGCTAAAGAAACTATTGAGAAGGCATTTGATCATTATAGGAGAAAATATGAGAGAGTGTTTGAAATCATTGATAAAAGGTGGACGGATCAGCTTAATCAACCTTTACATGCAGCAGGGCATATTTTGAACCCCGAATTCTTTTATAAAAATAACGAGAAGAAGACTTTAGATATAGACGTATGGAAGGGGTATCATGCATGTGTTGCGAAGTTGGTGCCAGATGAAGCGATGCAAGACAAAATAGGGGAAGAGCTTGGTGTGCATATGCAAGCCGATGGAATACTTGGATTACCTTCGGCCATTTGAGGCAGAACCAAATTGGCACCAGGTGAGCAAGTTTTTTCAACTGTTTTACTCTTTAGAGCTTTAACTTTTAAGTTATTAACTTCTAAAATAATACTTCTACAGTTGAATGGTGGATGCAGTTTGGTTATGAAGTTCCAAACTTGCAACAATTTGCTATTAGAATTCGAAGCTTAACTTGTAGCTCATCCGGGTGCGAGAGAAATTGGAGTGTTTATGAACATGTGAGAAGCTATATTACATTATTACTAAATTAAAGTGTATCTCAATTGTCCTAAGTACTCCTCTTAATTACTTCCTACAACTTATATGCAGATTCATACTAAGAAGAGGAATAGGCTTGAGCTAAAGAAACTCAATGATCTCGTGTTCGTAAAATATAATAGAACATTGGCTCGTCGTTACAAAGCTCGCAATATCATTGATCCAGTTTTATTGGATAACATTGATGAAGCAAATGAATGGCTAACCGGAGCCGTCGAAAATCATGAAGAAGAAGAAGTATTTGAAGGAGAAGGTCTCACTTTTGGTCATGTTGCTATGGCAAGTGGAGTTGAGGAGAATATTTATGGTTTTACGGGAAGTACTTTAAGGAGCAAGGAAAGAGTATCTACAAGTACAAGTACATGTACAAGTAGAACCCTAATTGACGAAGTCTCCGATGAAGAAGAAGAAAATGATGACCAATATAATAACTCGAACATGATGACACTTCAAAAGTTTGGAGATCTTGTTGCTCCTTTTGTGATTTTGTTTTGCATTTGCTTAATATGTTATGACTTTTGAGGATTATTCACTATCTAGTTTTAGTATCTATTATTTACTTCTTGATTAAAGAATTGAAATATTTGCTTAATATGTTATTTTTAATGAGTTCTTGACCATTTATCTATGCCTATTTAATTTTTTTATTTATGTGTTAAATTGCGCTTCACATGAAAAAAGTGCGCGCTTCGCTTCGCGCTTCTCGCTTCGGTGAAGCAAGGCCTCCTCGCTTTTTTCCGCTTCTCGCTCTCCAAAATACTGCTCCTTATCTTCCACTATATCAAGAGTACATTCAGAAGACCAGAAGATCCAAATCTTATTAGAGCAGTTGTGAAAGCATGATTCATATCCCAGCTTCCTTTTAAATTTATCAATATTTCTAGCCCCCGCCATAGGATCCTGAATAAACATGTAGGGAATTCTATGCTCATTTTTAATGATACTTAGTCTTTCAGCAGCACCTTGGGATCTTATCCCCCTAATATTCCATGAAAGTGTGCTAATCATGGGAAACATTAGGGGTTAGGTTTTGTCTACAATCTTTGTTGTCTGTATCAACCAGAGGTGGTGGAACAAATTTCTCATCAGAGGTTTTGAAACCATTTTGGGAGATAGATTGTTGTAGTAAGTAATATTTTGTTGGAATCGTGTGGTAGTATTGTCCACATAATCCATATTCAAAGGGTCTCTAGTCCTTCTGACAAGCTCATCATCAGACTTGGAAGAGTCATACTCTTCTAATGAGTTGTCCATATCAATATCTGCCATACAGTCTTTGTAAGCAGTATCATCAAAAATAGAATTTTCTTCCAACCTGTCATAAGTATCGTTTAGGGTGTTGTTCTCAATATCTGGGGCTGGTTCAATTTCCCCGTTATATTCTTGATCACTAACACTATCTTCTCTTCCTATGCATATTCTTGGTATGAGCATTGACTTCGAACCAAATAGCGGAGCAATTTGCTGGTAGCTATGTTGATGCAATTGTTCTTCATTTCCTTAGGATACATCAGGTGGAATGAATGCTTTGGAAATAAATATTTTGGATTTTCTCGAAACAATCTGTTCTTTTCCTTCTTGAACTTGTAGTAGTCAAAGATCAATTTCTGTGTCTTCTTCTTTTTCTACTGAAAAGACAGTTTTCTTGTTATGCTTTGATTCACTAGCATTGGTCTTTATCTTTTGAAAATTTTTTTCTTCCTTTGTTTAGCCTCCAGATCTTTATCCAATCTAGTTTGTTTTGTTTCCATATGGTTGATCTTGTTGCCCTCTTGTTGAATATTGTATTTGTTGTCGGGCCTCACTACATCCATGCTTTCCACATGTCCCTTGGAATTGTGAGTTACTACCACAGTAGTGTTAGTAGTCTTTGTTTTAGGAGTTTGTGCTCCTCCCTTTTCGACAACAATATTTTTGGTTTTGAGGTCTGTAGTTTTTATTGTGGTATCTTTGGCACTTTTTATGTTGGAGTTGTTGTAGCTATTGCCTTTTCCCTTTTTGTTTGACACAGTTTGCCGACCTTCATCGATGGATCCTTCTTCCATTTCGATTTCATTTGTTTGGTCGTGGCTACTATTGATCTCATCTCCTCTTGGCAGTATCTTGTTTGGTATGATGGTAGTAGTATTACTTCTCTGGTTTGGTCCTTGATATTTCCTCTGGTCCTTTTGTTTCCCACTGAAGGCAAGACCTTTGTTATGTGCATTATTGTTGTGCAGTGATATTGTACTCTTCTCATCGTTTCTCAATTGCGGATGTAGAATTCTACACGAACTATCATAATGACCTTGCATCTTGCAATGACAACAGTAGGAGGGGATGGATTCATATTCCACCTTTTGAGTGAACATCTCAAGATTGCCTTCTACATTTCTAATCTCAACATTTACTTCTTTAAGGATAGATTTAGTAAGATCAATCTCAATACGAACCTTTGCAGTAGTAGGTCTAGTTTTGGAAATAGTAGCCTTATCCATAGCCAGCGGTATACCAATAGGTTCAACAATGCGGCAAATGGCGTCCCATTCGTAGTAATGCCATGGAAGGTCTGGAAGGGTAATCCAAACAGGAGCATGTGTAGATTCTCCTTCCTGTTTGAATTTCGTGGTCCATTTTTCCAGTGTCATCACAGTATCTGATCCTATCATAGTGAAATTCCTAGAGCTGACATCCGCATGATCTTCCACATTGTCAAAATTAATAAACACATGTTTCATGTCATAAGCCCCAATTTTGATGGTTCCCTTTCCTGGGAAGTTTTTAGAAAATTCACTTCGGATAATATCTATCGATGGTCGAATTCGAAGAAACTTACCTATAATTGTCCATTTGCAAGTTTGTGCTAAAATATCGTTCTCTTCCTTTGTAAAAATGGCAATGGGTTTGCCATTGATAACCTCATAAGCTCTAGGAAGAAGCTTAACTCGATTTCTTTCAGCGATTGATGGTCGATCCATAGTGCCCCTTTGTATGAGGTTTGGCAGCACCTCTAGTTGAGGTAGAATCAACAGCTCCAGTTAATTCAACTCTTGGAATCTGTCTATTGAAATTTTGGGCTGACAGCGGTGGGAAATCTAAAGATGGGTTTTGGGTGGGG